GTTAAGATTCTCTTCGGAACATCATTATCGAACTTCCTAAATCTCGCATATTTCTATTTGTCGAATAAAATCGTTGAAATTTTTTTATTAAGAAATCTTTTTTGGCATTATAGTAATAAAATATATTTTATATTAAAAATATTTGCAATCTCTCTCCATTTATTTATAGAAAAGTTAATTTTATCGGGATATAATTTTGTAAAAATTTGCATAATCTTTTTAATAAAATATGTTCAATAAACAATTTCAAAAAACTACATCGAACGTTAACCTTGATATAATATCACGATTGGAGGATTGAAGAAATAACATGAGAGGGACGTTCTCTCGTCAACAGTTCCACTTCCTCGAAGAATTTTCTTGAAACCACTAAAGAGATAAATAAAGCAGAGATGCTTCTGTTATTTCCGTGGAGGAGAAAAAAAAGAGAAGATTGAAAGAGATGGAGAGACAGATATATACGTCTCCAGGTGCGCGATTGCTTCTAATTGCCCGCTCGATGGTTCTGAGGTGCCTCCAAAGTGAAATTGCAGCAACGTAGGCCACGCGAAAAAGGAGAGGCGCACGGATGGGATCGAATAAAAAGAGCGCGCTGTGAAAAAGCATGCGACGTATACACGACGAAGACCGGGAAGATCGGTCGTGATGCTCTTCTCCTCGAGAACGGCGAGAACGATCCCGAGCGTTTTCGCTAATTAACCTGCGGTCCGCCACGCCGCAACGCGCGCTTTTGTATCGCGCCGAGAAACCCGCATCACCTTTATGGCGCTAAAATTCGGTAAACGTTCTGCGGTAAATCCTCACGCGGAATACAAGGCACGGCTTGTACTTCCTTCGAGCAGAGATAAACCAGTTTCGCCCGTATGGGACTGTCGTTCTTCTCCGAAGTTCAATCGAGTTATAGTATCGCTTTATTACACAAGCATCGCAGTGTCTCAATTATTCGCTGATTGGATAATGTCATCAATTGTTAATGTTACGGATATGTTACTGCTTTGCTTTGATTTAAGAAGAAACTTTGTTAAATTTGACAAATTTAATATAAAGTATAATAATCCTAAATAAAAAAATTTCTTGCGGCTCTCTCCTAAAAAAATAGCTTTCTTTTCTCTCTCTCTCTCTCTCTCTCTCTCTCTATTTTTAATAAATTTTCAAAAAAAAAGAGAAATATTTCTTAAAAAACAAGTATCAAATCGTATTATCGCGTTTCACTTATGTTATTCGAAACACGCGTTAATCTGAGTCGTAGGAAAAATTAATAAAGAGTAATTATCTTTAATAATTGCTACAAATTTTGTTTTTATTGTTGTAACACGATTATTCTTATTATGATTAATATTTACGACTCAATTGTATGTAACCTCGAGAAATCTCGATAGATTCTATCTGCTGATTACGAAGCTCATAGGAGTACAGAGTGCCACAAAAGTAGCATCCGCGGCGGAGATAGTGTCTTAATCATAATGCTCGCTCCGAAAGGAAATTGGCCAGTCACGTTGGGAACAAAGGTCGCGTGTAACATGCCCCATTGGAGGATTCCTTTTTCTCAAAATTATCATCTTCGGAAATTACGACCGACGACGAACAGACCGATAAAAGTAACAGATAAACATTTTGTGCGCTTATTAAAATAAAATGTAAATCGTACTGCATCGGATCAAGGTCTACCGTCATCGCCGCACCACTTAAAACGTCACTCCGCCCAATCGGGACGAAAATAAAATATAAAGGTAAGAGAGATCATAAGTCGCTACAATTAATATCCAACTGCCCGCAATAACCTTTCTCTCTCTCTCGATACAGGATCCCCGAACGTGAACACGATTTATCGCGTGGAGAAAAAGAGAGAGAGAGAGAGAGAGAGAGAGAGAGAATAATAAGGGGGAAGGGGAGGGGAAAAGAGAGAAAGAGGGAGAATACGAGAGCCCGATTTTTGCGACGTTTTTGCCGCACGGCAACTTTGTTATTGATGATCGCGCGATGTTGAGTGCATAGAATAAAGAAGGTGGGCGTTTCCACCCTCGGTTATTTCGCCTCGCGAATCCCGCGCAACGATCTCCGCGCCGCAAACATTTTTCACTTTACGAGGCTGTTGCTTACGAGGCGCAGACTCAGAGGTAGTAACGTCGCCGCGATTCGAAGTCCGTACCGCCGCTCGTCGTCTTGTAAAAGTCAATATTTATGAGGGTGCTAACCACCGTCATCGCTCATCCTGACTCGTTAACCGGCTCTTCGCCCCCTTTTCTTCCCACCCCCGCGCAGCTTTGTGTTTACATCCGAAGGACAGACATCCTCTCTTTATTGTCAGCCCTAAAGAAAACATGTCCACACGTGGCTGGATTCTGCTGCCGTTGCTGCTGCTGAATGCGACTTGGTACGTGCCTGGCCTCCGTGCCAGAGATCGCATTCGCTTATTAGCGCATTCGTATCCAGTTACTATTTCAGATCGCGTTTTCAGAAAACATACGAATAATTCAGGAAAATTAATAGTATCCTGATAAGATATTTACAATTAAATTTTCATATAAACTATAATTTAAATATTGTAGATATACTATTATTTTTTTAATAATTTTTAATTATGCACGTGTTATCCTCCAATTTATATTTCAATTTGATTATATTGTATTTCTGCACTGTATTTCTATTTTAAAGAAAACAATTAGATTAACGCGTGATCATATCCGTCCGTTTCTCGTTACTATATATACGCCCACTTTTGATATTAAAACATGGGTAATCTCCAAGTGATAAGCAAATAAAAATGAACGATCTTCGTGCATTTAATTTCATATATGAGAATAGATATCTTACCAATGGCATTTTTATTCTCGTTCAATTTTATGTAAAGATATTGCTTTACCAAAATTTTAATTTAAAAATATTTAATATTAAAATTTATCAAAAAAATCAACTTTAACAAATAAAAAAAAGGAGAAAAAAAGTTAATCTATGTTATTCGATCAGATTTATGGTAATTATGAATTAAATTCGATCATTCAATATTTATTACCTTCTCTCTGTTTCTTTCCCTTTTCTCCCTTGAAAAAGTTACAATAGTTGGCGCTACTATAATTATAACGGACAGAGCAAGACGCACTGCTTCACATAGAAGCAACAGGTGTGAATCAACAGGTGTATAACAACAGGTGTCTGCAAAGTCGGTTCACGTGTCGCCATCTTTCATTGAACTACTCAACGCGCCTTTCGTTCATGTCTAGAGAGCCCGTCGATAATAATGTATGTCCAGTAACGTATAGCATGAACCATAGAAAGAATCCTGCATTTACATTTATTTTTTATATTCGAGAAGAATATAAAAATATTTCTCCAGAATATAAAAAATAAATGTGACAATTTAAAAATATTCTTTCTAAAAATAAATGTGATAATTGAATCATCATGATTTAATTTTTGTATCAGAGCTCTTATGACTTCGTATAACGCCTCGGATTCAATATATCGAATTTGTGATATAGCACAATTATATTAACTTACCCTTTGGCAGTGCTCCGCGCTGACCCGCGATAGGTCTGTGAAAGGTTGAAAGATAACATCGTGAAATTCGGGGTAACTTCGTGCCAACGGATGTGCGTACAGTTCTTTAGCACTGCATAATGCTTCGTGATATTCTTCTTCCGCATGTAACAGCTTCTCCGTGGCTCTGTACCTCCGATCTGTATCTGCCAAACAATACCATTTTCCCGTTCCAATAACAGCACAAAGTTTATAATCGATTACTTTTTTCTCGCATCAAAAAACAGATTTTTGTCGTACATATGTATAAAAAAAGATCAAAAATTTTTAATAGAAAAATTTTCTATAAAAGAAATATAAAATAAAATTTTATTTTTTATTAGCTTCAAGAAATTACAAAGATTATAATTGAACGAATTTTACATTATAAATGATAAATTTTCTTTTAAGTCTTAGATTTGTAATTTAATAAAACTTATTTTCTCTTTCTTTTTTATTCCATATAATCTCTCAAAATGAAAATAAAGTCTATGAAATATAAAAAAGATAAGAAAGATTAATTACCTCCAATCGCGTCGTACTGTCGAGCAAAATCCTCGATAAGTAAAACTTCGCCATGTAGAAGGGCTACATCGGCTGCGGGATCGACCTCGGCTCTCGAGCCTGCAAGTAACAATCGAGGCCTGCATACTCGATATTTCAGAAGTACCGGAGCGACCACAGAAGAAATAGCTCCGGGCGACGAGGCTGATAACTGCAACAGATAATAAAAAAATTAAATTATCGCACAAGAACACAATCAAATCAAATAATCGACTAGTAAGCATCAAGTATTTAACTCATAAACAAAAATTTTCATATTGCATTATTATACATTATATGTATATCAAATCTGTTATGAGTTTTTACAATATGAATGATTCTTAAAATATATTTTAATAACTATGAATTTTTTAAACTTTGCAAAGTTAGGCATTTTACAAATGTTGATATAATTGAAAGATTTCTTCCCTGAATAATAAAATCTTGATACATTTCAAAAGAGGTAAATTAACTTACAGTTAACACATTTCATAAATCAAATATTAAACGATTCCAAGTTCAAAAAAATATACATGTAAAATATATAAATAAATGAATAATATTAAATAATCCTAAATTGTTAAACTATTAATTAATAATAACCACAAAAATAATGAATTAATATATAAAGCGTTAATCATCATTATAGAAATCATGCAAAATAATAAAAGTACATTCTGCATCTAAACGCATCGAGAAATTGAATACTTGCTGTAGAATCTATTTAGTAAAACTTTCTTTATACGAAGAAGACTGGTCCATCCAACAGAAAGCTCTAAAGGAATGTTCTAATTATGCGACTGGACGGGGGGGCACGATTACCTTATAAAAAGCGTCGGATGTCGGGGCAGACATGCCATAACTTTACACGGTAGTCCGACCGACTAATCCCCGAAATCTTGGTTGCTATGGTAAGGAACACGAAAACAGCGCATAATTAAAGCGTGCGGTATTTACGGTCCGGCAATGTAAGCAGCGGCGCGAAGGGGGATCAGATAAATAATAAGGGCCCAGAAATCTACATCAGACCGTACGTCGACCTTTTGGTGACCCCTCGCGATTCGATTTGTGTACGAATGTTCATTGCATCGCATATAAATATGTATAATATAGTAATTGTACGATCGTAATTCGCGCGAATTTTTCAGAAATTCCGGCATTTGTGGAAGGCGCGGTGGAAATACAGTTATTTTCTTACATATCTCTCTCTGCAGTATATCCGCAATTTAATGGACAAAGGACGAGAAAGTTGTGAGTTAAAATCGACTGCCCATTAAAGTGCAAGTAAATTCTTTCTTATATATCTTTAAACATATACGTATTTTACATCGTTCAAATAGATAATTATATCAGGCAGTAAAAAGCTTACATATACATTTGAATATACTTTTATCTGAGACCGTTTTTCCCATCTTTTAATATACGCTGATTAAAATATTCGGAGCTTTTCTCCGATTTGATAGAAATGTACAGAGATATATAGACACAATCTTTTTAATTAAGTACAGATAAATATAATAACGCGAAGCGGGTCGCCGTTAAAAAAGCCGTATTAATTAGCGCGCGCATCGTCAAGCTGCCGTTGTAACGGACTTGAGCGTAATTTTCTAATTCCCCTAATTCGCGTACACGTTAAGTTTTCAGGGTTCAACCGTCGACACGTTCGACGAACTAAAAATATCACGTGGTTTTACATTTTTATGATAGAAGAAAAAAAAATAATTATACGTTATTAATATCTATTAATTATATTACGTCATAAAATTATTCTCTAATTATTATACCTCTATAGAAATCTGTTATCGTATAGCTGTACGGTTCTATTTTTCAATTTTTGACAAAAATTACTGACCAATCTTAATTATGAAGATACATACTAAAAATACGCATTTTCATAAATTATGCTTCAAGAATAACGATAATAAATTTCAAAATCTTTTTATTATGAAAAAAAAACTGTGCAAAATAAAAAAATCGCTGTTAAAATATTACCTGCTAGGTCTGAAACATTCTGTATAATCCAGTCACTAATAATTCCCACGATACTAACGAAAGTGTCGGTCATCCGTGACCTCAATAGCATTGGACTTGTTAAAACGATGTAACGACAATGAATCATCACGTATAAGTTAGCATTTGCAAAAAATTGAAGTACACAGTTTCTTATATGACTAAACATATCTATCCAATTATTTTTAACTCGCAATCCATTCTGTTTAATTGCATAATATATTGTACTTGATATTTTATCTCAGTATCGATATGCGTGAATTTCTACATATTCTTCAATAATGTAACATGCGCGTAATTTTATATGTTCTTTAATTATTATCTAAAAGTAACAACATTTCAACGTTTATTTTTGTGTAACTTTTTTTATTATTTTCTTATTATTTTTTTTACTTTTGACGCAAAATCTTCTTTTTGCTATGTACCATCAATTTTTTTACTTTGGTGATATAAAAATGCATTTATTTCAGGATTTTACCTAAATCATATTGATAAGCGGTTTCGCGAATCTGTAATAATTGGAGCGATTCGTCTTTCTCGCTGGTCGCATAATTCAGATCATTAAGCTCGTATGCGCGTTTCACGCGATGTGATTTAACGCGAGGGCGGTTGTCCGCGAGAACACGTCGTAGCGCGCGAGATTACCGAATCCGCGACTATAATACACATCGTCGGGAAGATTCATGGCAGCCTCTCGAGGAATAATGTCCAGCACGCGGGATTCATCGATGTTGCATTTATACGAAGAACGCGTTATCCCTCCCCTTAGCGAGCACATGTATGCGTGTATAGATACTCTCGATTGGAGAGAGAAAGAGGAGGCCGCACGCCCACTCTCACTTTTAATAAACCCAAACCGGAATCGTAAAGCTGAATCTAAATTGCATAATTATACCGGTCTATATGTGTGTGTGTGTGTATGTATACGTGTGTCTCTGTCATTACAATATATCTTACTCACTCTTTTCCCGTCTCCCCATTTTTCGCTCTTTTTTTTATTCAGCAGCATTTTCTTAACTCTTTCCTATTCTCTTTCGACTTCTATTCGATTCTTTTTCTGTCGCGAGCAATTATCAAAAGAATAAAATGGACTTATCTGAATAATGTCTGACGCTAAATTGACATAAGACAATGTCATCTATTCGGTGTAAGCAACAATTACCACACGAAAACAATAGAACTCCGCCATGCAGTAACTTAATGCCATCTATGAAAATCGGGCACGAACTTATGCAATCATCCAATATCTTACTCTTTTCCCGTCTCCCCATTTTTCGCTCTTTTTTTTTATTCAGCAGCATTTTCTTAACTCTTTTCTATTCTCTTTCGACTTCTATTCGATTCTTTTTCTGTCGCGAGCAATTATCAAAAGAATAATAATATTACAAATTGATTAGCGAGTGCCGCACCTTTTAAGATTTCACATATTACTGTGATCGGCCACAGATAAAAATGAAGATAAATAATGTTCTTTATATAAAAGTGCGTAATCAAAACTTCAGATCAAGTTTAACAGCAATATCGAGAAAAATATAAAAAATATACGCTAATATATGTATTCGCAAGAAATCGCATGTTTTATTATTCGCGTGAATAAATTTTACTCACTACTATTAAACAACCAAGTTCCTAATAGGCTCGATTAAACTATCTTGTTACGAACGTGCGCCCCGTTTAAAGATCAAGTTACAACAAAATGGAATGAAAGCGCAGTGATCGATCAATACCAGCGGCCCCGGCACTTTCACTAGTTTTTAAAATTGAATCTGGAATTCAACAAGATTATTGGTATCTTCTTGGTAAAAAGATTCAATCCAAGTAACTAAGAGAGAGAAAGAGAGAGAGAGAAAGATAGTAACTAACGATGAAAATAAAGGACGATGCGGCTCATTTGGCCTTCCGGTTGGCCGGAAATGACTCTCTTTGAGAGAGATTAACTATCAGAATTTATTTTCTTCCCGGCATGAGAGACATCGTCTTTTCGTCCAATTATTCAGTCCAGTGATTTCGCTTGCACGAAACAGCAACTTTGTACTTGCATTCTTCCCATCCGATATTTCGCAAGGCTCTTATCGCAAATTGAAAAGGTTTGCAATATTCGCGTCTCGCAACAGTTTAAAGGAAGACTATATTGTTGCAACGCGTCATACTTATCTATCCGCAAATCCGTCGCCGCTATTCATCGTATCGCTCCCTATTGTTTGGTGAATCATCCGATCGATGTCGTTGCACTTTTTCCATAATGATCGATGCACCGTATATTTGATGTATGTATAAGCGTAAATCACATATATACGGCATAGAATAATCGACTATAATCACAATATAACAATTGCGCCGGTACGCGCGTTGACACGTTCGCGAAATATTTCTGCAATTATATGTCTACATGTTATATATGTAAACCGATCAAGAGTGAACTGTACGAACTCGTTTATTGTCTCCTTGCTCGCGTGACAGATGATGGATTTCCATCGGCTGTGTTAAATAGACAAATACGTATATGTGTGTATATGTGTGGTGTCTCGTTCGAAACGAAATGTGCATGCACAGGCATCCTGTCCCTCCCAGTCTCATTACGAGACAATGAGCGTCGTTACATCGATCACAGGCCAGGGCATTCTGCCGAGGCGGAAGAGAACGGACTTGTATTTCGCGTGTAGTGCGAGCAGTAGTGGATTTAGAACACTCAACGTGTTTAGATCCTGCAGAATGTTGCTGAAATAACCTTTTTAATTATTGTTTGCAACAATAATAAAAAAAGAGAAAGAAACGTATTAAAAAGATTTTAAAAAGCTCTAAATTTTGTTTAGCATAATGTGAAATGTGACGTGCATGACTGTCGATCAATTAAATCACAGAAAGGCAATGTTAGTTGCCTATTTAGAAATATTTACTAAATTGAAAATAAAAAAAAAGACAGGTAGTTTTTAAAATAAGTCTCTCAACGAATGAGACCTTAAATGACCGCGCTTAGATCTATCGGTGAATACGCTACTGAGGTCGAGAGAAGAAGTCGAGCGATTAATTCACTAGCAGATGGACTGCAGAAAATTCGCTCCAAGAAACCACTAATCGTCTTGTGCAATCAAGATGTATGCAGATGTTGCAGCAGACTAAAAGCTTTGTGATATACATTTTTCATGTGTATGTATATATGCA